ACACACACACACACACACACACACACACACACACACGCGCGGAGCCCTGGGCGGGGCAGGATGTAACCACACCACGGAGCTCGGAAGACCAGAGCCTACCAGAGAACCCTTCCCCCGATGCTTTCTCAGGTCTGTAGTTACCTTTGTCTCTGAGTAACGGGCCCGTCGTGCCCTTCTGTAGAACATTTCCCGAGAGATCAATCTGGATCTCCTGTAATTTTCATTCTACCTGCAGAGTTGAACCATTCTGGTTTGGGAGCGCTCGCTGTCAAGGTCACTTTATAAATAGTAAATGTTTCCATCTTGAGTTCCCTTTTCATTTTATACAGTGGAACCTCTTTTCAACACGCTGGAGGCCTTTCTGGTTCCAGTCAAAACATCCTAACCCTTAGAGAAGAGCCGAAATGGCCTAGAGCACAGATCTGTTTCCCCACCGCTCCACCAAGCCTTTCCTGCCTAAGCAACGTCCTCCCCACAGCCTTCCAGCCCGCACTGAGTTCTCTGCCTCTCCACAGCCCGCTCCTTCCCTTTTGTCACCTACAGCACAGCAAGAGTTCAAGGCCCGCGACAGGAGTCACACCATGGGACTGGGTTAGGGGGCGCCGCCCCACCCAGCAGGCTTCCTGAAGGGTTTGCAGATATATGTATTATTCACGTACTATACAGGAAGGTGATATTTTTCTATCAGTACAGCACGGACATATAACTTGGTTATGTATAACACCTATAGATCTTCACATATACTTATATCTACTCTGTATTTCTTATAGGTAACAGATGTATAATTGCTGTCTCCTAATCAGGCCCTAATACAGATGGAGCATCTCCGCTGAGAAACAGCCGGAATAACCAAGCACTGGTAACACCCACAAAAGCCGCACTTCGATCCTCAGGATGACAGCGAGACACATTCCCATTAGATTTACTCCGGGCCAGCTGTGCCCTATCACTGAAGTGCTGGCCAACGCAGTCCTCGCGAGAACCCTCAGCAGATGCTGCCGTCTTTCTCACTTTACAAACGTAACCAGGGCTCAGAGACATTAAATAACTCTCCCCAGATCACACGGCAAAAAAGTGCACGGAGGTCCCTAGATCCAGGTCAGACGGACACCGAACTATTCCCTTACCTCTCCGCACTAAGACATCAGTGGTCACGAGAGGGAAAAATACATGGCCGACACTGCTAACCCTGCATCAAGCATCTCACCGTCACACGCACTGAAGTGACCCACTCTGTCGCTCTTATGTAACAAAACATCTGTGGTAAGGTTAACAAAATCTCACCTGCAACTTGGAAAAGTTCAGGCCTTCTGAAACGACTAAAAGTGAACACAACAGCCAGCCCACTAATCAGATGAGGTAACTGCTCCCAGGGAAGCTGGAATTACGTAGTATATAGGTCAGCTACACCATATACCCAGGGAAAATCACTTATGGGAAAAAAACAAATGAAGCTAGTCTTGAATCATCATTCCAGTCTCTGGGACCTGTATAGCAGACCAAAGACAGTACCAAGGAACGAATAGAGGGGAACATTGTTAGCAAAGAAGCAAGAGGTCACGGACAAGGAAAGGATCATGGTGTGGACACAAGCGCTCCTCGGGCAGCAGGCCAGGCCCAGCACGTGTACCGGACACAGCGGGGAGGGGCTGCAGGGTCCCAGACGGGCTGCACAGCTCACAGGGCGCTCCCACCACCAAGCAGGCTCTTCCTGCCTCTTATCCTGAACACAGACAGACAGACTCACAGACGCCCCACTTACTTTAATCGGTACAAACTGCTTTATGAACTTGATCCCATGTTCTTCCATGTGTTCGCCAATTTTGTTGGCCATGTCCTGGTCAAATCCTCTAAGGAGAATGGACCGGACCATGACAGTGACATCTAGACCGATACCAGCCAGGAACCCAGCACACTCCAAAGCCACGTAGGACGCTCCAACCACCAGGGTCTTGCCCGGGCAGTAAGGCAAGGAGAAAAGATCATCGCTGAAAATCGGGGTGGGGAAATAAAATGTTCACGTATGAGTAATGGAAGGAAACAGTTTTCACTTTCACAAGAACAAGAAACTTTTACAATTACAAACATTTAATGCACACACACACACACACACACACACACACACGTGTGTGCGCGCATGGGTGACAGAACTCTCTAGAAAGCCTTAGATACTTCGTTCCTTTTCCTGCTCTAAATGGCCTTGGGAAAGCATCTGAGGCTCTCTGAGCACCCAGGTTAACGTGTTGCATTACCGCAGCCCACTGTCCCAGGCAGAGGACAGCAGCTGCCCCTGGGCAAGGCCCACAGTATGAAATCATTTTACCAACAAGAGCCTGATGGAGAAGGCAAATGTGTAACAGAAATTCTCAGGCCAAGAGCACTGGAGAGGGCGAACCCCCCACAATCTGCCTTAATGTTTAAACCGCTCACCAATAATGTCAGTCATGTTATTACTCAGTTGGCAGAAGGAAATCACACAGCAAATCCCTTGATGGGCATTGCTTCCCAACCTCCTCCTACAGGACAGCAGGGGTCGGGACCAGGGTCGATGAACGTACAATGAAGGCCTGCTCTCCAATACTTCTGGGGTCCACTTTGCAAGTGTAAAACAGAAGCATGATCCCAGGCTTGCAAAACTAAATGTAAATGCATCCGTGCCATACTTGTTTTACAAAATGTCGTGGGCGTCCGTCTGCACTTGGGCCCCGGAACTCACACAGCCACACGATACAAGTACGCATCCGCTCTGAGTGGGTTCGCGGTGTATTAACAGTAACTCTCGGGGTGGGATAACCGGCATTGGCAGTTTTGAATTTTTAAAATGTTCTCTTGCTTAAAATATTTTCTCTTTAAGAACTGCACTAAGTGGCTTGAAGAAAAGAGCAAGACCTCACCTGCTAATGCAGTGCTCTTTGTCGCCGGGGATGCCCAAGTAGCGGGGTCTTTCACCAGTGGCAATGAGAAATCGCTCTGCTGAATAAATTTTTTCTTTGCCTTTATTATTTGTTGCCTACAAAGAAACCAACATGTCAATTTTAGTTAAGTAATTATTCCCTAGAACTGCAAGCTTTATAGTTAATAAAGGCTTTTCTGCACAACGTCTTTGCTGATCCTTATAAAAACGTGGGAGAATGAGAGACGCTGGGTAGGGAACGGACTTGCTCAAGGTCACAACGCCAGCCAAGGGTCCGCATGGAGCTCACCTGGCCCAGGGCACTGCCAGCCACCGCACCCTACAGGAGGCCACGCGAGGAGGCGTGAGCCAACCCGCAAAGCTGGAGTCTGGGTCACAGTGGCTAATGATTTTAATTATAATACTTTAAATGATTTTTTTCTCCCCTAGAAAGAATTGAACCCCAAAAGAAAGACAGAATGAAGTGTGGGCAGACAGAGACAGGGACAGACACAGACCAAGCACGCTGCACAGGGTGTCAGGTTTACCTTAATCCTGTGAGGACCAATGAACTGCCCGTACGCGTTCTCGTAGACGACCTTCTTCTCCCGAAGAGCTACTCGGTAGCCCCAGTTCAGTGAGCCGATGTGATTCTGTACAGCTTCCGTCATCTTTTCCCAGTCGTGCTGAACTGCATGAGGAATCGAGACAGAACATTTAGGTCTCCAACTGCCTCGGCAACTACTCATCTGGAATGGCAGGAGCAGGCTGCAGTCTAAAGGAGCAAGTCCTGTGTTCTGAGCTACGTTTCTCTTCCCTGATCCACATGATGAAATGATGCGGGCCTTCCTGGAAATTCTCCAGACTGAAACAGCACGACACAACGCTTTTCTCTGAATCTAGGAACGAACTGGAGTTTACCTGGGTTCCATGCATAACAAACTAGTAAGAGTCTCGCACAGCCAGGTGTACAGGGACTAAGAGAGCAGTGCTTGTGCAGCAACTGGCCCCATGGCACCGCGGGTCGAACTGGCCCGCCAGCGCTTCTGGTAAACAAAGCTCTCCTGAGACGCAGCCGCGCTCGTGTCGGGAGGGTTCCCGCTGCACGGGCGTGGAGCTGAATTGGCGCTCACACGCGTGGGCCTTGAAGCCTCAAACATTTACTATCTGCCAAACGTTTAGACAGAATTTTCAGTCTATCTCACTGCCCCAATACCATCACACCAAAAGTGTTATTTTAATCACAATTACTCTTTTGAATCCATAAAAACATTGAATTTCAAAATTCTAAAGGGTAAGAACCAGCCTTCTGTCTCTCATTAGTCAATATCATCCTAATGACTAAGAGACAATCGGGACGTCGATGAACTAACTGTTCTCTGGTGGTGCACGTAAGACAGGCCCTGGGGAATCTGCGGCTCAGAAGAAAGAAGGCATCCACAAATTCCACGTTTCTCTCCGGGAAATGAGGACTCGAGGTCACAGATTCAGGGCCACAGAAGAAATGGTGAAACCAGGTCTATGAAATCCAACTGCCAGCCTCTTATGGATACTCAGCTCACACAATCTCAAAGGGTTAGGACTGGGCAAACCTGAAGAGATCTCCGTGTAGGGGCTACCGTGGCTGTGGTGTCAAGAAGGGTGCCTGGGAGTGTGGGGTGCTGAAGAGACCCTGGACACTACTGTCCGCCTGAGGGCTGGTAATCCCAGTGCTGTGGGAGGCTGAGGCAGGAGAACTGCACATTGGGCTTGCCCGGGCAACTTAAGTGACTTTACTACGATCCATCTCAAAATAAAAAATACAAAGGGCTGAGGACGCAGCTCAGGGCGAAGGCAGGACTTGCTGTATGCCCACAGGCATGGACGGGAACAGCCATACATCCCTCTCCCCTACATCCAAGCATCTCACTGCGGAACTTCCTAGAGTTTCACCAGTCCCTTTCCATACCCTCCCCCTGAACCAGAGACTCTACTGTACGGAAATTCCAGACACGCACCACTGGGGGTCCCCGGGACTTAGGGATACCCCAGCCTGATCTCCAAGTTCCTCAAACCTCCTTTCTCACCCTGTGTCACAGTGCATGGCCCCCTTGTCCCCCACGTCAGTGTGGCTGTGCTTGAGCAGAAGGAACCTAAACGTCAGGCCCCCAGGCTGGGGCAGGACACCAATGCGCTCCAGCTGCCCCATTCCGGATCATGCTGCCAGGAATAAGCAGAACTCCAGCTCTCCGGTTAGCACTGCCCTGGCTTCTGACAGTGCCCGTCGGAGCTGAGATCTACAATGTTCCCAAAACCTCGTGTGTCCAGAGGCTGGGCTTCCGGAAGGAGGTCCGACCAGTTAAACTCGATGTGAGGAGGCAGGGTATGGCTGGAAGAGACTGGTCACTGGGGTGTCACTGACAAGCGTCCCTCCCCCCCGGCTACATCCTGGCCACCCGCTTGGTCCCGGGCTGAAACTCACCTCGGAGCCTGGAATGCACACTCCAGCTAGAACCAGCTTGACCTCAGGGTGCCCTGTGCCGCCCACAGCAGCTCTCCTGATGAGCGCCACACACAAGAGCGCCAGGCCACTCCCTGAGACCCAGTGATGGAAACTAAACTGGCACGAGGATGAACAGTTTTTAACATGTCTGGAGACACGTGAAGCTCGAAGCACCAAAGAGGGAGGAATTATTCCAGTTCCACCAGACGTGACCGGAAACAGTGTTCACGTTGAGACCTATTGCCACGAATCCCTCTCCACGCACTTCCTGGTTTTGAACCCTTAGCCCACAGTTCTTGCCACTTTCTGCAGCAGCTCTGGAGCCCTCTTTTGGATCTATAGTTGCGCTGCCATGGCTGCTTCAACGTCCTGAATCCATTCAAAACATTTTCCTTCCTTGGTCGTTTTAACTCTGGGTAGGAACCAGAAGTCACAGGCGCCAGATCTGGGGAACAGGTGGGTGAGGACACACATCGTGATCTTTACGAGCTGCCTTTCTATGGAATGGGACGCAGCAAAAGCATGCGCCATGTTCTTGATCACACTCCGTAAAGCAGTCACAAAGGGAGACTCCAGAACTGCTTCAGAAAGAGGCAAGAACGACGGATAAGAGTGTTTACACCACGGGAAATATCTGGAAGGGGATTCACGGCCACGTGTCTTTAACGATTTAAAAAATGCAGACAGGGGCCGGGGATTAGCTCAGTGGTTCGGTGGCCTGCCTCGCAAGCGCAAGGACCCAAGTTCGATCCCCAGTACCAAAAAAAATGAAAATAAATTAAAAATGCAAACATCCACTGCATGGTCTGATCATACCTCAGACGTCCAGGAAAATGAAGGGCAGACGACCTGGCCACGGCCTGCGCACGCACGCTTGAGCAGCACAGTGCGGGGAAAGGATCAACTCAGCTATGCAATGGGCAGACACAGCCCAGAGCACTCCACTCCCCTCCCTGTGAGCTATGGCCCTGCCTTCCGTGTACTGACAGTGTGACCCTAAACCTTCCTGAACACATAATCTTTTTTTTTTGTTTTGAGACAGGGTCTCATGATGTAGTTGAGACTGACCTGGAACTCACTATGTAGCCCAGGCTGGTCTGGAACTCACAGTGATCCTCCTGCCTCAGCCTCCTGAGTGCTGGGATTACAGGTGTGTGCCAGCATGCCCAGCAACATGTGATCTTTTAATGACATATTTAATTCTTGAGCATAAGATAACTCAAATAGGTAAATCTGAGCAATATAAAGCCAATCAGTCTTCTAGAAAGGACACCTCCAATGAAATGAGCTCTCCACTGAGCTTTTCCCCATGTATTTTCAATCTGAAGTCTGGGGAAAGGCAGGTCATAGGCCAAGTCCTGGACCTGTCGGCTGGGCAGCTGCTGTGCTTGGGCCAGGTCCCCTAGATCCCTCGGCACCCTGGGGCCACTTGGTGTCAGAGAAGAGAGTCCTGCTAGCAAGCAAGAGGGCTGCTCTCTGGTCGGGGAAGTCAGACTGGATGTGTGCTACTCTAAGAATGGAGAAACTTCATCTGCTAGGATACAAGGATCAGCAGCCTCTCTAGCTTTCCACAGTCTCATTTGAAAAATACTCCTCCAAGTTTCTTTCTAGCTCTAAGACCTAACCAAATAAAGCAGTGTTTATCCAAACCCACCGTATTCCTCACAAATGGGGGAAGATGAAGTACTGCTTCCTCGGTGACACTGCACACGCGAATGCACACTCACTCACACACCCCACACCTCAGCACAGAGCCCGGATGACACAGTAAGAACTCAGGAGGCGCCCGCGTAGGAAGGGACTCGGACTGAAACAGGGCCAAGCCCTTCACTCGGGCTCAGTCTCTGGAGTTACTGCTGCTGCAGAGAAGTACAGGAGGGGTTGTTGATGTAATGGTAGAAAACTGTGTATTCCTACCTTAAAATCTAGCAAGGGGGAAGAAACACAAAGGAAGTAAAACCATTAAAATAGTTGGATAAAAGGCTGGGCGTGGTGGCGCACGCCTATAATCCCAGCCCTTGGGGAGCCTGAGGCAGACGGATTGCTGTGAGTTCAAAATCAGCCTGGGCTGGGCCGGGGATTTAGCTCCACAGTTCCACCACCTGCCTCAGAAGTGCAAGGTCCCGAATTCGATCCCCTGGCTACATAGTGAGTTGCAGGTCAGTCTCAACTACATAATGAGACCCTGTCTCAAAAAACCAAAAACCCCCGCCCCGCCCCCCAGAAATAGTTGGATAAATAACTTAATTTAAAGGTATCAGGAAATTTGGAGATGTAATACTGACTTTCATGCACAGGTCTGAACTATGCTAGGACAGTATCAGCTTTTATTACCTTAGCCTCTGTACATTTAAAACCAGCAGGCTTTTAAGATTCTAAAAGACCCACCACGTGTATTTTCCTACATTCTTAACTGCATTAAGCAAACCTGTTTGACCAGCTGCCTTCCTCCCCGTAAGACCTGACAGCGTATGAACTAGGACTCCAGGGAGGCCCGATGGAGGGAGCACTGTCAGCCACCCAGTGGTCGGGTGGCAGTGACTAGGTGAGACAGAGCACGGAAGTCACAAAATGCATCCATCACAATGTGCCTGGAACAACCTCCCCTTTCCCACCTTGTTCTAGATCTTTCCACGTTAATACTCCCACTTCAGGTCCTTCCTCAGAAGAATTTCCAAACACCACGTAGGTTTAAGAAGGAGGCTATTAATCGGGTCCATGAACAGCATCAAGAGGAGGAAAGCGGAGAGGACGGACAGCCCAAGAGGGCGGGCTCTGCAATGGGAGCCACTGGGGGAGGAGGCGGAAGAGGGGCAGGGTACTGGCAGGTCCGGGGCTAAGTCCATGCTTCCTGGGTCAGCTGAGCTGGGTCTAACACAGAGAAAATAACACGGCCCTAGAGCCAAGTGAGGAAACTCAGCTACAGCCTCAGGCCTGCAAGGACATGGACACAAAACAGCCTTGTAAGCACTGAGGAAACAGATGTGAACCTAACTCGGGAAAACTTTAAAATGACTGATTTTGTAAGGTTCCAGACTTGAAAAAAAGCTCTCTTCATCTTTACTGTTCAGGGTCTCATCGTGTTATTCAAACTGGCCTCGAACTCATTATGCAGCCCCGGCTGGCTTGGAACTCATAACAACCCTCCTGCCTCAGCCTCGGAGTGCGGGGTTGACAGCCATGCACCACCACACCCAGCCCACTCCAAGCATTTTAACCCAGTGAGGTCTCAACAGTTCCTCCTCCTCAACAAACAATACCCCACCTGCTAGTGACAGTGAAAGAATTCTCTAGCCAGAAAAATGCAGCAGCTTCTAAAAGAAGCCAATGAAATTTGTACTATATTCTCACCACAAACACTGCACGACTGCTTATACCACGATGTGAGAACTGCTTGTAACCATGCTCTGAAAGACTTCTGTTTTCTACCTAGAAAGCAAGTACTCCAAGCACAGTATCTATCTGTTCTTACCATAGCAACCTGTAGATGATGGGTAACCTCGCGATTTGACCCACAAAAGTCTAACAATAAAAGCAACCTCCTGGGTATATGCTAACCTTGTAAAAGCAACCGATGCCCTGGAAGATCCCCGCTCAAACCCCACAAGCACGGACAGAAGAGCAGCTTTCGCTGCCATACCTGTGTCAAGTGCGGGGAAAGGATCAACTCAGCTATGCAATGGGCAGACACAGCCCAGAGCACTCCACTCCCCTCCCTGTGAGCTATGGCCCTGCCTTCCGTGTACTGACAGTGTGACCCTAAACCTTCCTGAACACATAATCTTTTTTTTTTGTTTTGAGACAGGGTCTCATGATGTAGTTGAGACTGACCTGGAACTCACTATGTAGCCCAGGCTGGTCTGGAACTCACAGTGATCCTCCTGCCTCAGCCTCCTGAGTGCTGGGATTACAGGTGTGTGCCAGCATGCCCAGCAACATGTGATCTTTTAATGACATATTTAATTCTTGAGCATAAGATAACTCAAATAGGTAAATCTGAGCAATATAAAGCCAATCAGTCTTCTAGAAAGGACACCGCCAATGAAATGAGCTCTCCACTGAGCTTTTCCCCATGTATTTTCAATCTGAAGTCTGGGGAAAGGCAGGTCATAGGCCAAGTCCTGGACCTGTCGGCTGGGCAGCTGCTGTGCTTGGGCCAGGTCCCCTAGATCCCTCGGCACCCTGGGGCCACTTGGTGTCAGAGAAGAGAGTCCTGCTAGCAAGCAAGAGGGCTGCTCTCTGGTCGGGGAAGTCAGACTGGATGTGTGCTACTCTAAGAATGGAGAAACTTCATCTGCTAGGATACAAGGATCAGCAGCCTCTCTAGCTTTCCACAGTCTCATTTGAAAAATACTCCTCCAAGTTTCTTTCTAGCTCTAAGACCTAACCAAATAAAGCAGTGTTTATCCAAACCCACCGTATTCCTCACAAATGGGGGAAGATGAAGTACTGCTTCCTCGGTGACACTGCACACGCGAATGCACACTCACTCACACACCCCACACCTCAGCACAGAGCCCGGATGACACAGTAAGAACTCAGGAGGCGCCCGCGTAGGAAGGGACTCGGACTGAAACAGGGCCAAGCCCTTCACTCGGGCTCAGTCTCTGGAGTTACTGCTGCTGCAGAGAAGTACAGGAGGGGTTGTTGATGTAATGGTAGAAAACTGTGTATTCCTACCTTAAAATCTAGCAAGGGGGAAGAAACACAAAGGAAGTAAAACCATTAAAATAGTTGGATAAAAGGCTGGGCGTGGTGGCGCACGCCTATAATCCCAGCCCTTGGGGAGCCTGAGGCAGACGGATTGCTGTGAGTTCAAAATCAGCCTGGGCTGGGCCGGGGATTTAGCTCCACAGTTCCACCACCTGCCTCAGAAGTGCAAGGTCCCGAATTCGATCCCCTGGCTACATAGTGAGTTGCAGGTCAGTCTCAACTACATAATGAGACCCTGTCTCAAAAAACCAAAAACCCCCGCCCCGCCCCCCAGAAATAGTTGGATAAATAACTTAATTTAAAGGTATCAGGAAATTTGGAGATGTAATACTGACTTTCATGCACAGGTCTGAACTATGCTAGGACAGTATCAGCTTTTATTACCTTAGCCTCTGTACATTTAAAACCAGCAGGCTTTTAAGATTCTAAAAGACCCACCACGTGTATTTTCCTACATTCTTAACTGCATTAAGCAAACCTGTTTGACCAGCTGCCTTCCTCCCCGTAAGACCTGACAGCGTATGAACTAGGACTCCAGGGAGGCCCGATGGAGGGAGCACTGTCAGCCACCCAGTGGTCGGGTGGCAGTGACTAGGTGAGACAGAGCACGGAAGTCACAAAATGCATCCATCACAATGTGCCTGGAACAACCTCCCCTTTCCCACCTTGTTCTAGATCTTTCCACGTTAATACTCCCACTTCAGGTCCTTCCTCAGAAGAATTTCCAAACACCACGTAGGTTTAAGAAGGAGGCTATTAATCGGGTCCATGAACAGCATCAAGAGGAGGAAAGCGGAGAGGACGGACAGCCCAAGAGGGCGGGCTCTGCAATGGGAGCCACTGGGGGAGGAGGCGGAAGAGGGGCAGGGTACTGGCAGGTCCGGGGCTAAGTCCATGCTTCCTGGGTCAGCTGAGCTGGGTCTAACACAGAGAAAATAACACGGCCCTAGAGCCAAGTGAGGAAACTCAGCTACAGCCTCAGGCCTGCAAGGACATGGACACAAAACAGCCTTGTAAGCACTGAGGAAACAGATGTGAACCTAACTCGGGAAAACTTTAAAATGACTGATTTTGTAAGGTTCCAGACTTGAAAAAAAGCTCTCTTCATCTTTACTGTTCAGGGTCTCATCGTGTTATTCAAACTGGCCTCGAACTCATTATGCAGCCCCGGCTGGCTTGGAACTCATAACAACCCTCCTGCCTCAGCCTCGGAGTGCGGGGTTGACAGCCATGCACCACCACACCCAGCCCACTCCAAGCATTTTAACCCAGTGAGGTCTCAACAGTTCCTCCTCCTCAACAAACAATACCCCACCTGCTAGTGACAGTGAAAGAATTCTCTAGCCAGAAAAATGCAGCAGCTTCTAAAAGAAGCCAATGAAATTTGTACTATATTCTCACCACAAACACTGCACGACTGCTTATACCACGATGTGAGAACTGCTTGTAACCATGCTCTGAAAGACTTCTGTTTTCTACCTAGAAAGCAAGTACTCCAAGCACAGTATCTATCTGTTCTTACCATAGCAACCTGTAGATGATGGGTAACCTCGCGATTTGACCCACAAAAGTCTAACAATAAAAGCAACCTCCTGGGTATATGCTAACCTTGTAAAAGCAACCGATGCCCTGGAAGATCCCCGCTCAAACCCCACAAGCACGGACAGAAGAGCAGCTTTCGCTGCCATACCTGTGTCCTCCACTTTCCACCCGTAGTTGCGAGAGTCTTGCAGGGCCTGTCCCAGCAGAGCCGCCTGGTGCATCAGTTTCTTAGGGATGCAACCCACGTTCACACACGTTCCTCCAAGACCTGCGACGACATTGAGAAACCAGTTTATAGCCTGTTTCACAAGGAGAAAGTAGTCAACAACTATTACAATTCAATGAAACATATATTATTAGCCAGATGTGGTCAACACTGTTCATATTATTTTATTCCTTAGTCTTATAACATTGCTAAAATTTTAGTTTTATCTACCGAACAAGTAGTAACACCCTAAAACAAAACAGAAAGACAGCTTTCAGCCAGGCATGGTAGCGCACGCCTGTCACCCTAGCCCTCAGGAGGCTGAGGCAGGAGATTCCAAGTCCAAGCCCTGTGTGGGAAACTTTGCAAGATCCTGATCCACAACTTTAAACAAATTTTAAAAGGGCTAGGCATGCAGCTCAACCTCTAGTACTACAAAATTTCCACATACTTCCAAGATTCAAAACTGATTTCCAGTATTTAACCTGAGTTTCTCTTAACTGAGCTCAAGTAAAACAGATGCTCTTGGTTTAGTTTTGTTTTTTAAATTGGGTTTTAGAAACACTATAGATTATTCCCAGAGGAAAACCTGCTTGCTTCTTCAAAAACATTTAAGGAATATTTTCGAAGCTTACCCCATCTAGTTCCAAGAGGGGTTGGAGTGACAAAATCTAAGACCATCACCTTCTTGCCATATTTGGCTGCCTCCTGGAAAAAAAATATTATCAAAATGAGCTGAGAGAGTTAACATCACATACCACAAGTGAGTTGCTAAAATCCATGCTGTTTTTATTAAGCTGTAATGCCTAAAGCATAACTATTAATTCCAGGGAATTTTATACGCATGACAATCAATTCAGCTCCAGGGCAAAAATCAGAGACACTCAAAACAGTTGTGTGGGTAGCTTTAAAGATTATACAGATTTCAGTTGTAAAATTGTCAGAGTCAGCTGGAAACCTTACAATCCTCTTCTGTAACTCCACACAACAGATTAAGCAATAATCTGAAACACATGTGGCCACTGCCAGGCAAATTTAAATAGCTGGTAAAGCCCCTTCCTGACCACCTACAGCTCTTGACCTCACACGTTTATGGAGTTTTACCCAATTCAGTTTCTAAGGCGGAACAGTGCAGAAGTTTCCCCTCTGAAATTGTGAGATTTCCTAAAATTTTCACGTGAAGATCCTGTTAAAAAGTTGTAAAAGTTGTGGGGTTCCCACCCCGCCTTAGAGGAAGGGAGACAACCATCAGGTTCACTCTGCAGAGAATCTGTTCCCATTGGGGGGACAGCTTTGTGCAGGGCGACCAGACCCCCACGGGCCCTCTGGGAAGATGCGGCCTGTGTGACCCGCACACACAGCGTTGCCACAGTAACACGGTCTGCGGGGCACCGTCCCCACATGGGCAGCCACCGACTCCGTCTCGTCAGGGAGCCGCCGGAGAGGAGGACAGGACAAGCTCAGGGCTTCACATGGGCACAGTGCACCCCAGCTCAGGGCAAGAACCCCACTCCCCCATCCTTCCTTGGCATCCTCTCCCCAGCTGGGCCATGGATCACCTCACATACACAAGAGGCAAATCATCCTCAGCAAGTTCGAGAAATCTAACTGTTCTTCATCTTTCTACTGGGGAGACAAGGTGCTATGAATATGGAAATCAGAGTGAAAAAATCAAAGTCCAGCACTGTATTTATAAAGAAGGAATACATTTGTCTAATGTCAAACCATTTCCATACACCTTTATCATCTTTGAAAAAAATCAACCAAACCTAAAATGAATGAAAGTGTGCCCCGAAACACTGGGCTCCCCGCTCCCCGTACTTTTACATGAAGAACATGCAATTCAATCAGAGGGAATGACTTATGGGTCGGACTTTGATCTGTCTTGTCCAAGGGAATGTGAAAAACGCAAGAATGGACCTAAAAATCCCAGAGAACCTGGAGAAACAGCGGGGATGGGAGGGCGCTAAACGGAAGCCACACACCCAACCCATGGCCTTGCCTTAGCGGCCGCCAGACCACCAGAGCCCCCTCCAATGATGATGAGGTCAAAGTCGTAGGATTCGGGAAGGTCCTCGGAGTTGTTCATTTTTACTGGCTGTTGAAGCTGGCCCACCTGGTCAACCTAAAGACAAAATTTACAAGCAACAATGTCAAAAAGCTTTGCAAGAAATTTTTTCTTTAAAGAAAGAAAAATGAATTTGCAAAGAAAAAAGTGCTACTTGACTTAAAGCCTACAAATGAGAACACCCAGTCTTCCTTCAAGCAAGGATGGGTGCCTGCTTCTCTTAGGGTTAGGATGCAGAGGACAGTGTCCATACTACATTTCCAGATGCGAACGGCCTAGACGGCACGAGACCAACTTCACCCTAAACTGAGTTGGATCATCATCAGCCTTTCTTCTCTAAAATTTTGTTGTTTTGAGACGATCTCACTATGTAGTTCAGGCTGGTCTTGAACTCATGGTGATCCTCCTGCCTCAGCCTCCCAAGTGCTAGGATTACAGGAGTACATCCCCATGCCCAGCTCTTCTTGGAATTTCAAAACCAAGTTTTAAATTAGGTTTTTGAAAACATTATTATACAGTTTTTTGCTTTGTTTTGTACCAGAGATTAAACTTGGGACCTTGTGCTTACGGGGTGGACAGGTGGTGGAACCACTGAGCTAAATCCCTGGCCGTGTACAGTATGTTTTTCATGGATCCGTCAATAGACTTTTAATCATCATCTTTACTCTCCAGTCAAAGACAGAATGACTTAGGGAGGGGCCCAGCACACTGGGGAATAACCCTCTCAAGACAGCAATTTTATTAAAGTTAGTCAAATACTTTAAGACTGCTCTACACTCTGTAGCTAAAGCATAAAAATCTAGAGATTCAGAACAATCACTGACCTGCATGAAAAGTTAAGTATGTAAGAATTCCTGCTTTTGCAAGGCATTACATGGTTTGTTTTTATTTTGGTTTTTGTGGGGCTGGGGATAGAACCCAGGACCTTGTGGATACCAGGTCAAGTGCTCTACCACTGAGCTACATCCCTGCCTTTTAAATCTGACTTTACAAAGCTCATTCCTTTAAGCTGCATGTGCTTCAAGTCTCCTGTAATATATTTAATTTCGATATTCTTGGCATGTAACAAACAGGCTTTACAATTTAATTTTTTATTAGTACGTTTGCAGTATGTAAAGTTTACATCCATCTTAGGGAGCAGGTCCCTGTGCACTGTACTTGATTCTTTCTATTCCTTCTCTTCCCCATCCACATCCCTCCATTTCTGGATCCCCTTTCCCTGTTTCCACTGTTACTATCATCATTAGTATTAATTTTACTTTATGCTTATGACATATGCTTACTTATATTCAATGTATTTGGCACAGGTACATGACACATCTTGAATATTTTTATGCCCCCTTCCCTCTCCCCATACCCTTGTTTTTAGTATTTATTTATTTATTTATTTTGGTACTGGGGACCGAACTCCAGTCCTTGAGCTTGTGAAGCAGCCCCAGAACCACTGAGCTAAATCCCCACCCCTATTATTTAATTTTTTACAAACCCCTTTCATTCCACTGGCTTTTAAATATCTCTTACTCGTATTTCATAGTGGTTTAGAACACTGGGTGATCCATTTAAGGGTCCTTTTATTAAAAATTTTAAAACCTGGGCTAACAAGAAATGACTGAAAAAGTTAACAAGCACATTAAAATGGCCTCTTAAAAATCAAGTTCAAAGCCTCAAACTTACCGGCCCAGACTGCACAATTTTCTCCTGCCTACAATCAGGTGCTGGGGGCGGAAGGTGGACCTTGGGGTCGGCAGGAGAACAGGGCGCTGGGGAGGTGGCAGGGGCTGCCGCGGAGGAAGGAAGAGGAGGTGCGGGCCAGAAGACGCCTGCAGGCGCGGGCAGAGGCAACAGCGCTGGAGGGAGGACCCCTGGCGGCCAGAGGCAATGGGGGGCCGGCAGCACCCCGACCCTGAGCACGAAAGGCCTAAGGTGAGAAGCCGGAAGACACAGCCAGTACGCGTGGCCTGGAATTAGGACCAGGGGTCCGCCTTCGACGCCGGGCGCTGTTGGGAGACAAGCTGGTCACAATCGGGGTTCACAGGGAGCCATCAGCAGCACCGCTGATCCAGCCGGCTCGGCGGGAAGGAGGGCTTGCTCATAGCAGTTAGGTGTCACTGGGGGTTTTAGGGAAACCACCATTTTAGATCCCAACCTCGTTTCTTCTCATGAACTTGGTAAAGGTGGTGAAGGAATACAATCATCGGGTGCCCAAATGGAAACCACCCTGGGGACTGCTCTCTCCCAACACCTAATAAAAGGTCGGGCATCCTCAGGCCAAAGCCACACCCTCCTCAGCCGATGTTCATTCCGTACCTTTCTGCGATTCTCTATCTGACCTGGTTCTTACGGTTTAAGCTTTAAACTGAAATCCTAAGAAGCAACACACAGGTTTTACAAAAGAGCTGAGGAACCTAAACATTTTAACTCTGTACAGCGAACCTGGTAACAGTCAATGGAAACACTCGGGTGACCCTAGAACCAAACTTCATGTTTTTAAATTTTAACCCAACTTAAAATGGAATCACTGCTGCTAAGATTCAGGTCAGTGAAAGGTAAAACAGGTAAAAGATAGGAGACCGCCCCCAGACAGCCCAGCAGGCAGGGTAAGGAGAGGCGAGGGGAAGAGACAGAGGCACCAGCTGCTGCAATAACGCTGCAATGTCGGGACATGGAGCTATCCTGCCTTACAGTCTCGGGACCTCTTACAAGGAATTTTTTGTTAATGTGTTTTATGTATCAATATTTTCTCCATTAAAAATTGACACTAAGGGCCAGGGGTTTAGCTCACTGGTTCTGCCACCTACCTTGCAAGTGCAAAAGGACCTGAATTCAATCCCTGGTACCAAAAAAAGAAAAAATTGAAACTAAGAAAGTTAAAATATTAACATATTTTAAAGTCTCAATACACCTACTATGTTAACATAAAGTATCCCTGTTAAAATGTAACTGCTGTAACACTGCCTGTTCACGCCTGCTGACAAACGCCATGGCTGACTTGGAGAAGATGACAGTGAAAAAGCAAAGTGGACTTTTGTATTGTGAAACCAACAGCAAACGTGCCATGGTGGTAGTGAGATCTGAGGAGCAACACCCAACTCCTCCTGAGAGGTCCCAGGGCCCTGTGGCACAGCCCAGCCCTCCCCGTTCCCTTGGCCTGTCCCAGCAACGCCCACCCCCACTGCACCCAGGCCCCCAGAAGAAGGCACAGGTGCAGCAGACAACTTTAAAATGAGAATTAAGAAATCCTTACTTCCCCCAAAGTGTGGCTTCTCTCCTTTCCCGGGTTTTACTGGGCTTTCCTCCCATTGTGCTTGGCTCTGACGTTAACTACGTAACCTGTCACTCTTGAGATCTCGTGGCCCCATCCTCAGAGCCTCCTTCTTCTGCTCTGTGATAGGAAGTTACGGGAAGCTCCAAACTCCACCAAATTCCTGAGCTTAAGGCAGGTAACGCATGCTGGGAAAGTGGCCAGCAGGAAAGAATACCTTTAAGTTACTAATGCTCCCCTTCCTGGAGAAACGAGAACTGCCCAGGACCAATCAAGAAGCCCTGCAGTGTGTCCCACAGGGGTCCCTGAGCTCCCCGCCCCCACCCCACCTCCACGACACGTGAAAATCCTATTAGATTCATATTCCAGGGTCCACAATAAAGTTGCACTGGAAAACATCCGTACCCATTTGTTCACATACTCAAAACCGTCCAGGAATGCAGGTGCCTCTAAGAGCCCAGAGTACAGGCTCAGCTTCTCCCTCCACGCCTCCACGAGGAACCAGACCTGCTGACACCTTGACTTTAACTCAGCAAAGCCAATTTTGTCTGGACATCCAACCTCCAGAACTGGAAGATAATCACTAAATGCTCAGGAATCTGTTACAGCAGCAAGAGGAAGCTAGTACAGTATCTTAGGAGACAAGCACTATCCTATCAAAAACAAGTCTACCGCCAGGCATGGTGGTGCACGCCTGTAATCCCAGCACTCGGGAGGCTGAGGCAGGAGGATCGCTGTGAGTTCAAAACTAGCCTGGGCTGCTTAGTGAGTTCCCGGTCAGTCTCAAAAAAACAAACAAACAAAACAACAAAAAAAACAAAAAAACAGGTCTACAACAAGGAGAACAAAACGAGAACCAAGACCTGTCATGTAAAGGTACAAGATCCCAATAATGAATGTAACTGTACTGTATACCTAAAATGTACCAATAAACTCAATGAGATTAAAAAAAAAACAAACAACAGATCTACAGATTAATACTCTTGCCCAAAGTGTGTAACCAGAATGTCACAGCGTTGGGAATGGTGCTATTACTGTCAATTAAAAGGGTGGCAGACACTGGAGGGGCTATGCTTCCGCATGTGAGAAAGGGGAAGAAAGTCTGCTTTAGACAACAGTTTGCCAGCGTTTGTAGGGAAGTTCCATTTTCTCCTGCAATTCTCTACACTACACTATTGGCAAAGAGGCTTCCACACACGACTGTGAGAACCAACGTCTCAGTCCTGGTCATCAGTCACATCTCCCTTCCTGGTACCACACAACAGCAAAGTACTATACATACTGTTAAGTACAACTAACAGACATTCACTTGCCAAATTATCAGTGGCACAATCCCTTCACTACAAAAGATTAAGTTCCTAAAGAGTAGCTGCTTACAGACATGTTCCTTGCACCTTCTAAAACTGTCTTCTTAATGACCAAAATTTGGCAATGACCTCCAAGTTAAGTTGTAATTTGTATTTTTTTTCTGCACTTAGATCAAACCCAGAGCTTCATGCACATTAGTAAACACTCTGCTACTGCCTGAATATCCTAGTCCTGTAAATTTATATTCTTACAACTAAGCACCTGCGCCAGGGATGGTAGCTAAGTGGCACCCTGACTGCCTGGCAAGTGCAAGGTCCTGAGTTCAATCCCTGGTACTGCAAAAACCAAAACCAAAAACAACTAAGCACCAAGACAGAAAAACCTCTAAATTTATACTGAAGTGAAGATCCGTGATAACATATTTAGCTTAGCTTTAGATAAGTGATAAACATATTTTAGCTCAAATATAGTTCCCAGTCTACTAAGAAATGCAAAATTGGGACAAATAATCAAGGCTCATGCGGCCTCACTGGAGGGACCAAACTGTGCTCCTGGCAGGCAACAAGTGGCTGCAGGATGAGGCCAGTGGTGCTGGCGGGGCCCTGGCCACTCTGGAGGTAGCTGGCCGCATGCTTGGAGGCAAAGTCCATGGTTCCCTAGCAAGGACTGGAAAAGTGAAAGGTCGAACTCCCAGCGTTGCCAAAGAGAAGACAGGCCAGGCCAGATGCAGTACAACCAGTGGCGCTCTGTCAACATCATGACCATCTTTGGTAAGAAGGGCCCCAATGCCGACTCTTAAATCCTGTGATCCTGGCTTTCTCTAACAATTAAAGCCACTTCACCCAGGCCCCCCCACACACATACACACAAAGTTGTTACATGACGTTGCTGATCTGATTCTGAAGAACAATCTGTAAAAATCTACAGACCAGGGGAAAAAAATTAACCAGTAAGGCAGCTCAAAATTTCTTTCACCCCTAAGGATACTACAGCTCAGGTCATGCGATTCTCACCCTTTGTCATTTATCTGTGGGCTCCTTTGTGCCTTCCACAGCTCCAGCCATCTGCCCTTGTTACTTCCCCACCTAGAGGGACCGTTCCACCTACTAACCCTTACTCGCTTTTCAGGACTTACTTGATGCTTTCAACACTAGAAGGCAGACACTTTTTGTTGAATCCTCTTACACAAGTTGTTTAGAATGAGGACCTACTCTTTACAGTAGTGTGATATCTTGTTTTGTTTTTTTTGGCTTTATTTGTCTAATATTTATGAACTAAGTTTTTCTTAGCTTTTTCACTCACTCACCCCCCAACTTTGTTAGGAGACCTTTATCGGCTTCTTCTGGTTCACTTGAGGGAGTAATGCAGAATCCCCCATGGGGTGGTTCCTGGGGATGGAATCCAGAATGCTCTACCACTGAGCCACACCCCGAGCCCTGTCATTTTTGAGATAGGGTCTTCCTAAATTGCTCATGCCATCCTGGAACTTGGATCCTCCTGTCTCAGCCTTCTGTGTAGCTGAGATCACAGGTGTGACCCATGACACTCAACCCAATACTTTCTAGTTGATGGAATTCAGAATTTATTATCAATTAACTTATTTAAAGATTCCCATAAGCAGGATGGTGTTAATAACAGACCATAACTTTATAAATTACTAAGAAAATAGTTGATGGTTCAGAATTTATTATCAATTAACTTATTTAAAGATTCCCATAAGCAGGATGGTGTTAATAACAGACCATAACTTTATAAATTACTAAGAAAAACACACTATACAGGAAAACAATTTCAGATGTTCTCAAAAATAGTATTTGGAAGAAATATAGTACGTGCTTCAAAAAACAAAACGGATCACTGCACTATGAAACCCTTAGCGTGACCATGTGATCATGGCCTGGGAGATTTCGAAAGTGGCCACGATATCCTTCCAGTCCTGCAAAGTCAAGGTTATAACCCCCTGCTTCCTGCTGTAGATGCTGGGCATGTGTTCACCCATCTGGCTGGGGTCTACGGGCTCTAGCACCGGCAGCCCGTCTTGGTCCAGCGCCATTCTTGCAAAGCCGTCTCTTATGATGAAGGAAACATGGAACAGGCGCCAGCAGTAAAGTGGGCAGGCCGGAAGGGCGGGGGATCGGCTCCGAGTCGTCGCAGGAGCCCGCCTCCTCTGCCTTCACCTCAAGCTCCCTCAGGGAGGCCCGGTCGCCAGCCATGGCGAGGGCAGAGAGCGGGCAGCAGGCGGCGACCCAGCTCACACTGCCCCCAACTGGGCAAAGGCAGGGGCCGTTATGGGGGGGCTGCACATGCGCACTGTGGGCTGCTCGAGCCCCGCCCCCAGATCTTTTCCTTTTGACTATTGCCCCGCCCCATCTTGTAGGGATGGCCCCGCCCCTGCCGCACACCCACAAGCAGCACGTTGAGCGTGCGCAGTAGGG